GTGATTGATGTAGGGTCTTGTATGTCTGTTTCGGAGACGGCTGTGAGAAGCCATCCTGTGTAGCTCGCAGGATCATTGAGGCACGCAAGCCATCACACCACGTAAAGGTGCAGTCTCGTCGTGATGGAATTTGGACGAGACAGAAATTTATTGGCTAGGGGCTATCGAGTTTGGGTGGGCGGTAGATGTGCAATGAAATGCGAAGAATTCTCCCACCGTCAGGAGAAATCTCCATTTACTGCGCTCCTACGTCTATCTGGCGGTTTTTTAACTGATAAACTGCCTCTCGTTTTTTTGCTGGAGTGGCCTCTCCAGGGGCCGGACTGGATCGTCAATGAAAACCAGGTGCCAAAGTAGCTGACCTTGTGAGAATGATCTTCGTTCGGCGTTAATACAAGATTGGGTTGGTTCAGCACCCAGCCTCACTTTGACTGGGGAAGTAATAGAGCAGGTGGATAAGTTTTGTTATTTGGGCAACTACGTCTCTTGAATTGACTCCGTTTTTCCATGCTTTTCAAGCAGTCAATTCAAACGGAGAATTGAAATTAGTATATGAAAGATCATTGCTGTGAGTAATACAGCCAACTGTGCAAAACCATGCTGGCGGCTTTGCTGTCATCCGGTTCAATTCCACGCCCAATTGAGAGGGGCCTCAAGTCGTTCGTCACTCAAGGTTCCGGGGCTTAGGTTACCGGTTGCCATCACTGAATCGCAGGTTTACGTGGCTATAGGGTCCAGCCCGTTTACTGTTAATCACAATGAGAAATGTAATAAAAACAGAAACGAAGATTGTCAGTTGATTCATCAGAATAAGAACCTGATTTTTTGTTTCCGTACTTCGTACGATTTTCACTCCCGATCCTGAGGGAAGGAGACTGAGAAAAGTTCTCCTCATGCGAATCCACATTCGTTCCATCGATCTTTTTGGTTTTTCTGTTTTAAACTGTCTAAATTTCTCATATGTTTTCATTTTTCATCTCTTCAAATAATGTTAGGTGTACATGGCGAGGCCAGAGGCCGCCCTGTGCGCTCGGTTACAATCTCAAGGCTGGAAGCTACCAGATGACATAATTTCCAAACTGACGGAGGATCTCAGAGACACTAGGCTTTCCGAAGGCATCAGTTGCTTCATTGACCATGTGGACGAGGAGGATGCGTCGAGTTCAAATTCCACTGAGGATGAAGCGAATGACTTGGAGTGCACCTGTGGATTGAGTTCTGAATATGTATCCTTAAGTGGTGAGAATCCGTCAGTCAACGTTAAAGAGAGGGCTTTATGCAGTGATGAAGTAATGGGAAAAATAAAAGCCAGAAGTGTAACTGAAGAGCTCGTTTTCTCCAAATTACTCTCCTGTCTCCCGCCTAATGAATCGGGTTGTAATACGGCTGATTCGACCATTTTAAAACATTCATCTGTGGACCACCAAATGGGCACTGCAACGGAGTATGAAAACACAAGTGAAGCTTCCGGTGATGATCTAACCTCTCCCACTGGCAACATGTTACCAAAAGCTTCTCTACATGCGATCTTTTGTCCGAAACATCGTCGGACGAAAGCTCATCCGGGGACCCGAATGAAACACTTGGCTCCACCGAAGCCCCCCAGATTGTTTTTGCTCTCCCCACCAGCATCTCCTCCCGTCGGTTGGGAACCAAAGGCTGAAGCTGAACCGGTGATTAACTATGATCTCCTTGAGGCACTGGCTGCTCTGGCTCCTGGTAAGCTTAACTGTTTGATCCAGTTCTGTGCGTTTGCTGATTCCCGTATTCACATTTTGGATTGCATTTTTTGTACATGCTCATTGCACCTTTAGGAGATGCTTTGGGTATCCACGCGAAGCATTAATTGTCTTCTTAGTGTGCTGGGGATAAAAGACTGATAATTAGTTGCAACACGTTGCCATCTAATTTGACATACGTACCTGCATTGATGAGGTATACTATTAAGTAAAGATCCAGGTAGTTGCAAGCCTTTCTGGATAGTTTAAGTGCTAGTGTATCCATGTTCCGTATGCGTTTTGCACCTTCAAAGTGTAAAATGTTAATACAAGACTGGGTTAGTCCTACACCCAACCCCAACCTAACTGGGGAAGTAGTAGAGCAAGCAGACAAATTTTGCTTTCTGGACAGTTATATCTCACCCGGTGGACGCATCACGGATGAAGTGTCAGCTCGCGTACAGAAGGCTCGGTTGGGATTTGCTCACTTGAGACATGTGGCGCCGTCGCGACATCTGGCTGCCTGTTAAAGGTCGACTGTATGCTGCGACAGTTTGTATTTGTCATTTGCACTAGTATTTGTCGGTGTTTGAACACCAATGTCTACGCAGCATTGCACGAATCTGGTGGGGCAACCGGACGAGCAAGGTTGAGGTTAGTCTCCCACTGGAGCAAGTGGTCGACCTCCATAGATTACGTTGGTTGGGGCATGTGTTACGCATGTCACCAGATAAGTTGCCACGGCGAGCGATGTTCGCTGAGGAAGGTAGTGGGTGGAAGAAAATCAAGGGTTGTCAAACTAAGACCTGGCACGAGAATATCAAAACCCTAACCAGGAGTCTGGGTCACATAGTTCCCGTTAGGCTCCCTGGCTGGGGACCTCGGGATAATCGTAACCGATGGTTAGAGACACTGAGTGATATGACTGAGTGTCGTAAACTGGCGTTCGTGCATTTTGTCGATTTCTTTGCAAAATTAGTTGAGGGAAATCCTAAATTTTCTCTTAGATCCTGCTTTCAATCTTTCCTGTCTTTCTCCTCATGTTCATCCAAATGGGCAGCCAAAAGACAGCAACCCATACCGGCTCACGGTAGTGCATGGTTAATGGTTGTAGAAGCTGAACTGAACTGATATGTATATGCTTGGTTGGACTGTGCTCTGTGTGTTGATCACAGAGATCCGCTTTCTTTTTCCGTCCCAAAAATAAGTGCAATCCCTATCCTCCCTACACATACTCACTTACCTTGTATGCAATATCAGTTTGGCAGCGATCAGTGAAGTTCGCTTCACTGTTTTAGGCGGGACAATAATGGTGATGACCGGCTCGATTGGGCAACATGATGTATTGGACACCTCGACCCCGTCCAAGGGATATATGTTCCGTTGAACTGGATACTGACCTCTGATGAAATGCAGTTTTCACGCACACTGACACACTGCCTTGCTGAAGTGAATTCCGCAAATAAATTCCCTTGCCTGACAATGTCGTGCGCACAAGAAAATCAATAACCTTTTGTCTCTTTATAAGGATTATTGCAACGTGATTTGTTTGGTTCACAGTTTAAACTAACACGTGACCATATATATACATATATATATATATTATTGGGGAGAGAGAGACTTATCGACATCTTACGTATCTAATCTATTTAACATATCTTCGGTTTTCATTATACGTTTAGAGCTTGAGTTCAGGAATAATACACCATAATTCCTCCGGCNCTGAATGTGTCAGTACTTCATAACGTACTTGCTTTAATCTAATCTAACTCTGTTTCTTGGTATGCTACGTATCTTGATTATGTAGTGTGTAATTCTCGCTGCGCATCATTTGCGAAGGGTAGGGGGTAAGTAATCAACGGTGGTTTTTGTTCAACTCTGGTATCCATTCAAAGAGATATGGGTTACATCCGATTTTCAGCAGTAGTTTGACAGCAGCCGTTTTTCCAAATAGTTCGTTTATACAGGTTTCTTAATATTATTTCACAACCTATCTAAATGGTCTCTCGAATCTCCTTTCCCCTCCCAATTCACCTTCTTCACGGAATCGTCACTTGTGTTCAAGAAATGATCGTTGACATTGTATTGCAATCACGCCCGGTACCCTATACTGTTTCTTCTTTCCCATGTTCTGTTGTTCTTTCTATCTCTCACGCTTGACCAGGTGAGGCTTTCGAACTGCATCCTCGTGACGAGGTCAGACGACATCCCAGTATCGTGATCACACCATGTGAAAATCATCCGTCTTCCGGACCTCGGCCCCAAATTGTGCAAACCCCATGTCCCGAGCGCAGAACATGACAGGGCAAAGTTTGAGATCTATCCTCGTCCGAAGCGCATTTGGAATCCGTGGACCGCACTGTACAGCTCGGGCATTCGCCATTCCCAGTTGCATGTGCAGATACATGCGTATGGTTTTTCGTGACCAACAAGGATTGACTTATTTATCTACGGTCAGATTCGCCAATCCAATAACCGAATATCTTCACCTCTTCTTCTGCAGTCCATCTCATCTACGCAATCTGCTTACCGGGGAAAAAGATACACCCAATGAAAGGAATCGGCGTTCACAGGCGACTCTGGTTTCACACACTCATAATCACGTTATTTCATGCAAGCGAGCAGATCGTGACGAGTGCTATTTTACTCACGTTTTGCTTGTTTTCGACTCTTCTCATTTCAGTTGTACAAAGTTCATTCCATTCAGTTTGGTGTTTCTGTTTTGTTTTCGAAGCTGGTGATGGTTGATACAGTCCCTGAATTTTGTGGCTGTTCGGTTGCCGGCTAAATCTCTATTTATTTATTTACCCATTTATTTACTAATTATCCTGAAGTCACGATATTTTAAAGTAGTCATTCAAGGCAGTATGTTTTTCTTCTCGTCCTCATACACTTACTACTTTTTTTATCTGAATTTCACCGCAAAGTTTTTATTTGCACCACTTGCTTGTTGCTTCTATGAGGATATAGTATTGTGAATGCACAGTTTTCGACAAAGCAGATGCAACAGAATTGGTCGGGCATCAGCCACTTGATCCACACTTTGAGTCCGATCCGGGACTGCTGACTAGTTTTATCGAAAGTGCAAAATCAGATGTACAGTGCCTTTTGTCGACTTTCACACAAAACTCTCTTTCTAAGAGCGTTAACAAAACCGCCAAATAATTCAACTCCGAGAGAGGGGGAGAGGTTTACACAGACCATTTAGGTGTGAAAATGCATGGCGTTTGTGTGTGATTGTGGCGTGGTGGACCCTATGGTCCGAGGTTCGAGCCCCGCCACCCAACTTTGGTTGTAAGCAGCTTTGCTATCTTCCGGTTCTAAGCCACACTTAACCCATCGGGACCTTATGTGGTTCTCCACTCCAAGCCCCGGGGCTTAGGGTGCCGACTGCCATCATTGAACAGCAGATCTTCGTGATTATGGGGTCCATCTCAACTACTGTTCATCACACTGGTGTGTAATAAAAAAGTTATTGATTTAGTTTACATACATTTTTAATCCTTGATAACTCAGTTAATTTTTTCCCGTCCTGTAAGATGAAATGGTTAGATTGGAAAGGCGACGTCGTCTTTTCAGTCGGGTGTCAATTGACGTCACTTTTTTGCTTGTAAGATTGGTGAAGACTGAATCAGTTTCTCACGCCAACTGCGTTTCCGACTCTCTTAGTGACATTCAATGTAAACATTTGGTTGCTTTTTCTCTGCTGACGTAACCATTGTATTTGGCAACTGGAATTGCTAGAAACCTGGATGATCATGACTTGATCCAAGGAATCCTACGTTTCATTTTGCAAACCTTAATTCGCATCTACGATGTCACTGTCAGCTTCTTCTGTTTTAAACTCACGTTTTTGCATCTGTTTATTTTGGTTTGAAAACTCATTTGGCACGTTTTTTAGGTGTGTTGCCATGTTGCAAGTCAACGCAATTGTCATCATCTTTAACTGCTTGTTCGTCTCTCCTCATTGTCATGTTACTATTCAAATCGAATGGATAATATGAGATTGCGAAAAAAATTCGTTGCGTCCCTAGCGTGTAAAAGATAGTCGTTATGTGGGAAGAAGGAGCAATAAGAGACCCTGTTTCATTCGTTGGACATACCACCAACAGTCCAGTGTGACGGGGAGGGGGGGGGGGGGGGGGTGAGTGGTCGCATTTCTCTTATGTATGATGATTCATGGTTTCAAGAGCGTTGCCCACTTTACATAGAGCGCCAGTCTCATCGTACTAAGAGCCAAAATCGATGAATCAACAATCTGGATCGGATTCGCCTGAGCAGCGGTCAATTTCTGTTCGGTCTTGACATAAGATAGAAATTAAAGAGACGAGAAACCCCTCCTAAATATGTGATTCACGATTTTATTGCCTTTTTTCCTATTGTGCTTCGCGATAAACTGAAATATTTTGGGAACTGGTTTCATTTCGCAATGGTCGAATTTTGCTTTTGGGAACTGGATTTGTCAGCACATTAATCAAGGAAATGAACCTGAGATTTGGTCAACCCCACTGTCTTATGGAAATTGACGCAGTAGTTCGAGTATATAGTCTATCTGTAGGCTGCTCCATAGATCTGAACTGTCTCACAGAACTCAATACCCACACAAAGTAGCGGATAAGCTCGTGTTCATTGTTTTTTAACCATACCGTTGCAACTAGTTACGGATAAGGTAGGAATGAAGTAAGGAATTTTCTTAGATGCAGTCGTTTTCTATATGCTCTGCCATCACCCGTANCCCGTAATTACTTCGAGCCGATTTTACGAGTTGAGCTGCCGAAAATTGAAATTCCAAGGTGCCGGTGGATTATTCCCGGTTGCAAACGACTTATTGGATGCTATGTGGACACAGCACAACGAATCTCTCCACTCATTTGATTTCTGAGAACTAAAGAACACCTAGCTGTTTCCCTATCTCCAACGTCGAACAGTCTCGTAGCATTTACACCATCTTCTCTTAAGCTCACGGGCTTTGTTGTTCCTACACTAATACTACTGCTACAGTTAATATTCATAATGGCTCGTTCCAGTTCAGTTATAAACTCAGTCGAAGCACGCTGGATGCGGTATCTTCAATCATCCATTTCATAGTGAAATGCCCAATTTCTACAATTTATTTTAAATGCCTCGGCAAAGCCATTCCTGTGCTTTAGATTCTATTTCTCGACCACACCCACTTCATAGACTGAAATCTGCCGTTTGCCTGATTAGTTTGCTGGCATGGGCTTAGCAGATTATTTTTCGCCTAGGCAACACAGTATATCATTCGCTGGCAGGGGTCCCTTAATCGAATTAAACTAATCAAGTATATTTCAGACTTTTACTGTTCTATCGTTTCTTTTTCTTCTGACTGTATTGGTTACTTCCCCTATCCATTTATTCCAGTATACGAATGATGTTGCTTTGTGTCCAAGTTTTCCAATGCAATCTCTCTCTCGGTCTTTCCTGAGTTCACTGATTCTCGCAGACCTGTCGCTTACAAATCCCCGGTCAGAAATGGTCTGAATGTGTCTGCACTCTGTCACTTTCCGAATTCACAACCACAACTTCTTTACGTTTCACATTGCCGTCCTTCCTTAACCAGCTTCATCTAAACTCCTCGGCTCTTTACATTTGTCTCTAATTTTCCATGGTTTTAGCACGTAAACAATAATGGAGTAAGTTTACACATCTGTATCTTTGGTATGCAAACTCTCATATTGTCGTGTTAAACAGTTTCTCATTGCCACTTTTGGTAGACTCCCTCATACCCTAATCCTATAGTCTTCCCATGCTGTGTTCTCTAGACTGCACAAAGAGAAATACACTGCTTTGTGTCTCGGACTTCCGATAAGAGTGTTGAATCTGTTTTACCTACTCCTATCAGTCTGTGTTGATTTCGGTCGCTTATTGGCCGCATTTATCTATTAGAATTTGACCCACCGGAACTTCTCTTCACATGAGCTTATTCTATGCGCCCACTTATTGACCACTTTGCTCGATTCCTTGTCCACCTGAATCCCATCTCGACACCCACTGCTAGTTTATGTTTGATCATATAACCTTTCGATCGCCTCTCCACGGGCACGCACTTTCTCCGGCGCAGTATGTCTCGTTTAACTGTGACTTGATCTTTGTGATTAAGTTCCAGTTTNCAAATTTCCTATCCCTGACTGTGATTGGACAGTCCTGGTGACAGTCGACCTTGTGTCTACCCTTATTACTCGGTGTTGGTCCTTCATCCACCTAGTTTGCTTTGTTCGGTGATCGATGGTTTTGTCCACTCTTTTGGCTCTAGTAGCTGCTGCCTTTATCAACTCTGATAGATTGACTGTTCGGTGTACTCTCTGTGAGAACGCCACGAATTGAGGTTTGTATCTGTGTTTGTGATGTAACCGTTATTTACCTGCAGTACCGCATTCATTAGGCGTTAGTCAACAATCGTACCTAGATCGATTCCGTTTTTTGGCTTGGCGCCGCACTCAACCTTGGCTTAGACACTGGGCAGATCTAACAAAGAGAACAAGCTTCTGTCATGCGGCTTAGTGGTGGTCCGGTGGTCAAGATCACCAAATTATCCCCACCACTACCGTCTGACTTTCTTAATTGCATGTGCTGTATGGCAGCTCCCCCCTTCCTGAACATCATATCTTTGTTCGCCACTGTGTGAGTTTCTTACAATGTATTCCACAAGAGGAAGCAAAAATGAAAAAAAGTTTCATTTTGTTCCAAATTTGATCGGAGAAACTGCAACACCAATCCGTCTAATTATCCAAATCTGTGTGCGCAAGTAGACCATGAGTAGTTTTGTGCTGGGAGCATCGTGGTATTAGTTACTCAGGTTCCGTTTGAAGGGTATACGGCTCCACATGTCAGGTTAACAGTCCTTGGTAGAATCAGGTTCGCATGTTCTCATTATTCCTGGTCTATTACACGCGTTCGTTTTCAACAGAAATATCTGTTAAGTGACACAGGTCTATAACAAACAGTGCCATCAGTCTTCTTTGTGCTCTTCAGTCATATCTGGCTGTGTTCAGGCTCTCAGTAAACAATGGGGCCTGAACAGCCAAACCAAATGTCACTCCGATTGTTATGATTATGATTAGTCCGTTGGGGTTAAGATCAGAATGCGTGGACCTAACTTGATCGATCCCTGTAATTTCTCGATTTCATACATACATTTTCCTTCCATGAGTTGTCAACCCCTCCTTGCGAACTTATTGTCCCGATCCCCAATGTTGTTATCACCGACTCGAACTCAGTACTTGGGTTATATCTCTAGATATCAACCGCATTTCACACTTGAAACAGTTCTTAGTCACTGA